GTCGATGCCCCCCCCCCTATTCTTGTCCACTCGCTTAGCTGAATGTATGTACACTATTGTTCTGCACCGAGCCGTCCCTTACCACTAGCTTCTGCACTCAGAAAACACATTTACATATATTTCCATGTTTTCCCGTCATTTCCTGGAACATGTGCGCATTTTATTTGCGGAATAACTTTGGGAACAACACATTCTCCTCTGGTTCGAAACGTCACTTCTGCAGTCTAATCGTCTGCCCTTATGCTTCTGTGTGCTTCTTCGCGCTTAGTAGAACGCGCAATCGTTCCATTCGCTGATCCGTGTAAGCGATACGTCCCTCCGCTCCCGGGATGGAGACCAGGCTATGACTCCATGCACCTGCGCTCCGCTGCGCTCTTCCCTGATCCGTGTCAGTGGCGCGTGCAATCGTTTGCTGCAGGGATGCGACACACGCTCGTGCATGCCCATACGTCCACGGCGATCCGTTCCGCGTTCTGTAGCTCTGCTGCTGGCTTCTCGTCTCGGCAACAACAATGTCTCTGGGAACAACAAGATCTCGGCTCGGTCCCCGTCGGACCCGCCCACAGCCACGCCCCGCCACGACCTGTCTTATCGTACTCGATCGCCACTCACTCCACATGGTATTGACACACTTTCGCCCTTGAACTGGACCAATTTCTGGCGATTGCTGCGATCCAAGCGGAGTGGGGAGTGCGCCCTCCTCACGCACACCAAGCGGGAAAGTGTGATGAGGACGAAGAAACAAACAGAAATGACGCGAGCGGGTGGAGGGGGGGGTGTTCGCGTGTCAAGCTGGATGCTTACGTCGCCGATCCCCCATTTATTGGTTTCACACTAATAGTGTTTTGCGGCGTCGAGCAGACAACCGAAAGGTACTTTTTCGGAGGATCCCACATCGATCCAAAACAACGAAAGTCGCTGGAAATTCCCTGCCAAGGCCGACAGGCACACAGCAGAAAGAAAGACCTGGTCTTACATTTTGACCTATAGCAGGTGGCTGATTAACCCCGCGCACTTCTATAGTTATGCTGTACCGCCATGCACGAGTGCGATCGGGCTTGCCTATCGCCCCTGTCCACCACGGCGCCTTCCGGGCTGAACGAGTAGGCCACCCGACTGCATTCGTGCGTGCGGTACAGCATAACTACAGGAGTGAGCCAACCTGGTACTGTCGACTGCCAACAAGGCGCGTTCAGACTAAGATTTAAAATACGACACATTAGTATGCACGATAAAAAAAAGCACGTCGGATGAGCAGTCCCTTGCCGCGAAACTTTCCATTTGAGTAGGTTTGGGTCTGGTTGGGTCTATGGGCCGTGGGGATACGCCTGATAGCAATCTTCTCAGTTTTCCCGGAAGAAAGGTGGGAACGGGAGGATCCCGAAATGACAGACCGGGAGGTGGGACGAGTGGCGCTTTATCTGGATCAAGGGCGGGTCTGTGCTGCTGAAGCTGTATTGCTAGGGCGGCGCCAACGGCGCCACTCCGGAGCGAGAGTGCTTCCCGCCAAACTTTGCGCGCGCATTTTCGCTTGCTGGATGCGGCTGCTTCGGCTGCCTACGGCCTACGTGAGGATGGGACCTCCCCCTCCCCCCCCCCGGCCAATCGCCGTGTGAGAATTCGTTCGACACCAGGTCCATTCGCATTTCGCGCGTACGCTGTTAAACAGTCCGCCAGAACTATACCAGACACCAGAAAATTGCCAGCATTTGTAGTATCAGATTGATTCAGGATATGCTCCTGAAATCGACTCATTTCTGATATCCGTAATCGTTCCTGATTTCGGGCCGATATGTCATTGGTCACTTTTACAATGCCGTTTGCTTCCCTCAGGCTCCCCCCGCGCCATGGAGATCACGTCGCTGCAGGACGTGGTGCTGCACAGCAAGCTGCCCTCCTTCGAGGCGCTGCGCCCCGCCCAGGAGCCCGCCTCGCCCATCAACGGCCTCGACAAGCTGGTGCAGGAGCTGCACCGCATCTTCCGCGACGACGTCGTCAACATCGAGCACGTGAGCGAGGTCATGGCCTCGTACCAGAGCAACCCCTCCGACTGGAAAAAGTTCGCCAAGTTCGACAGATTTAGGTGAGACTTTGCCCGCGCTTGCCGAGCAGGCTTCAGGCCGTGTGGCTTCCATACCTGTGTCAGTCCGGTCCATAAACTGAATGACGTGACCCCTGCTGCGGCAAGCACTCGCTCTCCACTCGCGTACACGACGTCACCCGCTGGCGCCCGGACTGGCGGCGGGGTCACCCGCGGCCTTAGCAACTGCTTTGGCAGCAGCATGGATATCGGAAAAACAGGAAAGTTGGGAAGCTTGTCTGAATGGAAGCGATGGAAGTTTACGTTCATTATGCATAGCAGGGGCGTATCCAGGCGTGGATCGGGGGAAGGGGAATGGAGGAGGGTACATTATTGGACTACCACACGCCAGGCAAGTTGTGCTGCTACAACCAAAGGAAATTACCGGTATGGTGGTTGACCTCCTGCTAAACAGTCGCCGGTGTTTGCGTCTTGCAGACCCAAGCAGAAGAAGGCGGGGGCGTGCCTTTTCCCTTCTCACGGGCGGAAAGTAGTGCAGTTTGCCCCTTCAGATCTGGGGGACTTCCCCATGGGAAAGGGGCGATGACGCGGTGCCTGCATGCGGCGATCGGATAGCATCGGCTTTCCACGCCACCCATCACCGGCTCTGCTACTACCCAACCACCACCACTAACACGGTTGGTCTTCTCCAGGTATACGCGGAACCTCGTCGACGAAGGCAACGGCAAGTTCAACCTCATGATCCTGTGCTGGGGTCCCGACCACGGTTCAGCCGTACACGACCATGCGGACGCACACTGCTTCATGAAGGTAAGCAGCGAACGGCCGACGCAGTCAGACGCACCTGCAGGTGCGTTCCCTTCTGACTACCCCACGTCCATTTGCAGATGCTCCAGGGAACGCTGAGCGAGGTGCGCTTCAGCTGGCCCGACAGCCAGCTCGATAGCCGGCCGGACCAACAGCTGCAGGAGGAAGAGGCCGACGAGGAGGGCCGGCCCCTGGAGGAGATCTCCCGCACCGACCTGCGGCTCAACGACGTCTGCTACATCAACGGTAAGCCACGCGAAAACCACAGGGCTATGGAGACCTACGGCATCAAAGTGAAGTGAAGGCGAAGAAAGGCGGCAGGCAAATGCGTCGCATGCCCGCGGCCCGCATACCAGCCTCTGGCACGACCACGGTCGGCAACGAGCCTGCCTGCTGCAATGCCATCTTGCAATGCAAAGTTTATGGTGCTGGAATACGCGCGTACAAGTTTACAGACACCTGCTCTGCTGCAGCAGAAGCTCGGGCGGGGCGCGGGGCGGGGCGGCAAGTCTAACCCCCTCTCACCGATCACAAACGCGCCGCAACGACCCTCTCAAAACTCTCCCACTTTTCCTCGTTCTGCAGATTCCATGGGACTCCACCGCGTGGAAAACCCGTCGCATTCGGACCCCGCCGTGTCGCTGCACCTTTACAGTCCGCCCTTCAACTCGTGCTCCGTGTTCAATCAGCGGACGGGGAAGCGGACGAACTGCAACGTCACCTTCTGGTCCAAGCGAGGGAAGAAAATCAATAAGGTATTGTGGGATTTGGGTGGTGACAAACATGATTGTCTTGACAAAGTCTATTTTGGTGTCGGATCGATGATCGATGTCGCCTCTTTCGAATCGTTACACCTGGTTTGTTGTCCTCCGTGGGTAGGAAGGCCAAATCTCGAGGCCTTATGGGACACTAAACTATAGTGCCCCCCCCCTGCAAAAAATAATGATATTATAAAATAATGCACAAAATATTCTAAGTTGCCGTGCCTTCCCGCCACCTCCACCGCTCCCCCCTCGCCCTCCGCGCCTGCACACCAGTGCGTAGGCAACCCATCGAGCTGCCGCGTATTCTCCCGGACACCCGGTACACGCCGTTTGCATCTCTATGTCAGAGAATAGAATGTCAGACTCGTAAAGTTACGCCACGCCGCGCCCATCGGCTCCAACCCAACTATAAGGAATAATGCTATGTGTTCTGTTTTGTTCTAGGAGGCCAGATCGGCGACGGTCCCAGAGGACAACTGAAGGACGGAGACTACGTCAAGCTCCATGGCGCGAGTCCCGGGTTTTATTCTGTATATATACTTTGTGGAGATATTTTATGATCAACGACCGTGCAATAGTTACTACATGTGCTTTTAAAACGAGAGGCAAGTGAGACCTTCCCGCGCCGGGCCTCGACTTTTCACATTGAAACCAAGTCGTTCATGTTTGCGCCTATGGGCTGGAAAGTAGGCAACCCAACTTACGGCACAGGCGCAATGGCTGCAGTGGCTGGCAGTGGCGGTCCTCGCCGGTCCTCACCCTCGTCTTTTAGCTTGCATCACTGCACAGCTTTGGCTCGACCCTGCTTATTTCTTTTACTCATCTCCTCCCTCGCTCCCTGTTGCAAAAATATTTTTTTTTTCAAAAACAACAACACTAAACACATCCTTTTGTACAATATTGCTGTGAACAAGTTAGCGCACACGGTTGGATGTTACATGTTACCACGGAGGTTTGGTTCCCCGGCGTTGTGGGTTTTCAGTTTCAGGTTCCAGCAGATGATACCGACATCTATCAGGGCGAGTATATACTCGTATATATACACTAAAAGTTAATATACATAAATTATCGTTAAGGTGTCA